GGAAGGGAGGGAGGGAGGGCTCTGCACCTCCAAAGCTCTCCCTGCAGGATGTCCCTGGGATTTTCTTTCCTTTTTTTTTTTTTGGAAGCCGTTTCCTGGCGGTGGAAAAATCTCCATTTTTAGAGAAAAAAACAAGGAAAAGGACGAGGAATTCCTGCCCCGGCTTTTCCTGTGGGGAATGGGATGGGTGCTGGGAATGGGATGGGTGCTGGGGATGGGATGGGTGCTGGGGATGGGATGGGTGCTGGGGATGGGATGGGTGCTGGGAATGGGATGGGTGCTGGGAATGGGATGGGTGCTGGGAATGGGGGTGCTCCTGATCTTTGGGATCCCTTCCATCCATCAGCTCTGCTCGGCCCAATCCTGGTCCCGGAGGCAGCGGGAATTCCAGGGCTCTGAATCCCAAACAGGGATGAGGGATCGGGAATTCCAGGGCTCTGAATCCCAAACAGGGATGAGGGATCGGGAATTCCAGGGCTCTGAATCCCAAACAGGGATGAGGGATCGGAGTGTCCAGCCGAGGGAGGAAGGAGGGTTTGACATTCCCAGGGCTCCTTGTCCGTGTCCAAGGGGTTTGCCAGAGGCTCTTCCCCATCCCAAACAGGGAAAGGGTCTTTTGGTGATGCCCAAACAGCCAAAAAGTGGGAATTTCTGGCGTGTCCCGGTCCCCCCCCGTGCCGAATCCCGGCGTCCCTTCCCGGCGTCCCTTCCCGGTGTCCCCCGGGATTTGAGTCACTCCTATTGTTTGGCTCTTCCTTTTCCTCTTCCCCCGGTCCCTCCCGCTCGGGGTCCAGCGACATTCCAGCGGGGACAGGGGGGAAGTGGCTTTTGGGGGATCCTTGGGAGCCGGAGCCCCCCCGGCACCGGGAATGTCGGGTCTGGGAGGCTCCTGACGGGACATCCCGGGATGGCTCCGCTCCCATCCCGGGGGACAGGGCACCAGCCACGGATTTTGTGGGATCACTGAGGCGCATTCCCGAGGTTTTCATGGAGGGAGGGGGGTGTTTGGGCCCCCCGTGGTGCCTCCCATCCCAAAAATCCCCCTGGAACCCTTCGGGAGCCTCCTCTCTGCTCCGGGGGAAACTGAGGCACAGCTCCAAGGTGACTTCCCAGAGTTTTCCAGGATTTGGGATCCAAGTGGGGTCCTGGACCCCAGCCCTGCATCCCCAGCCCAGCCTGGGAACAGGGAATGGGCCCAATCCTGTCCTGGGAATTGTGGGGAGTCACTGGATGTTCAGTCCCACCTGGGAACAGGGAATGGGCCCGATCCTGCTCCTGGGAATTGTGGGAATCACTGGATGCTGAGACCTACCTGGGAGCAGGGAATGTGGGTCCAATCCTGTCCTGGGAATTGTGGGAATCACTGGATGCTGAGACCTACCTGGGAACAGGGAATGTGGGTCCAATCCTATTCTGGGAATTGTGGATGTCCCTGGATGTTCAGACCCATCTGGGAACAGGGAATGTGGATCCAATCCTATCCTGGGAATTGTGGGAATCACTGGATGCTCACTCTCACCTGGGAGCAGGGAATGGGGATCCAATCCTGTCCTGGGAATTGTGGGAATCACTGGATGCTGAGACCTACCTGGGAACAGGGAATGTGGATCCAATCCTATCCTGGGAATTGTGGGAGTCCCTGGATGCTGAGACCTACCTGGGAATTCCCTACCTGCTCCTGGGAATTGTGGGAGTCACTGGAAGCTCAGCCCCACCTGGAAGCAGGGAATGGGCCCAATCCTGTCCTGGGAATTGTGGGAGTTACTGGATGCTCAGCCCCACCTGGGAACAGGGAATGGGGATCCAATCCTATCCTGGGAATTGTGGGAGTTACTGGATGCTCAGCCCCACCTGGGAACAGGGAATGGGGATCCAATCCTATTCTGGGGATTTTGGATGTCCCTGGAGGCTGAGACCTACCTGGGAACAGGGAATGTGGATCCAATCCTGTCCTGGGAATTGTGGGAATCACTGGATGCTGAGACCTACCTGGGAGCAGGGAATGTGGGTCCAATCCTGTCCTGGGAATTGTGGATGTCCCTGGATGCTCAGCCCCATCTGGGAGCAGGGAATGGGGATCCAATCCTGTCCTGGGAATTGTGGGAGTCCCTGGATGCTCAGCCCCACCTGGGAACAGGGAATGTGGGTCCAATCCTGTCCTGGGAATTGTGGGAGTCCCTGGAGGTCCCGAGAGCCGGGAATTTGGGCTCCTGCTCGCGGGATCCTCCTCTGATCCGTGGGTTTCTCCCTGCAGGAGTGAAGAAGAGGACAAAGGTCATCAAGAACAACGTCAATCCCATCTGGAATGAG